CCCCTTCCACATCTGCGATAGCCACCTTCCACACCTGCGATAGCCCCCTTCCACACCTACATACCTCCGATGTTTTCCTTCATCTGAACCTTCCGTCCTCCGCTGTGTATTAACTTCTCTACTTTAAACTGCACCTCCCCCACATGCCGCCTTTACCTCCCTCAACACACACACACCCACACACACACACACACACACACAAACTAAATAAATTTCCGTGTTTTTTTTTTCTCTTATTTCATCCTTCATAGATACTGTGGTCAGGTGCTGTTGTCAGGTGCTGTGGCTACGTGTTGTAATTAGGTGCCGTGGCCAGGTGTTGTACTTAGTTGCTGTGGCTAGTTGCTATAATTGGACTAGGGCTAAATAGGAGCTGGGTGTATTAGGGCTGGAAACTATGAGGACTGGGGACAAAGAAGTAGTCTTGGGCTTATCCGGACTGGGGTCTATTGGGACGAGTGACTATTCGGGTTTGGGGCCCTTTGACCACTCACCGACGCACGACAGTATACTTTATTTAGGCGTGTCAGAGGCAGTGCTGTGTTAGTAGTTCACCTTAAACTCAAGGCGTGGGTGTCATACTGACGGTTGCGTCTTTACCTTCTGCTATACTTCTCGTGCTTTTGAACCTTGCATAGTATTGAAGGATTTATAATTAACTGTGTCTGTCTGTCTGTGTCTGTCTTTGTTTGTTGGTTTGTTTGCCATGTGACGCTTTAATCTTCTCCAAAATAGTCGGTTAGTCTGGTTGTTTGTCGAACTTGTCTTCTGTCTGCCTTTAATTTCCATTGGCACCCACTTTATTATTCTCTCTTTCTCTCTCTCTCTCTCTCTCTCTCTCTCTCTCTCTCTCTCTCTCTCTCTCTCTCTCTCTCTCTCTCTCTCTCTCTCTCTCTCTCTCCTCTCTCTCTCTCTCTCTCTCTCTCTCTCTCTCTCTCTCTCTCTCTCTCTCTCTCTCTCTCTCCCTCCCTCCCCTCCCTCTCTCTCATATATACATGTCATGGGTGTGTGGTATAAAATATATCATAATAATACCCATGAATAAAACAAGTTGCAGTGATCTTAATGTTTGCAGAGTGGCAGAATAAAAGTTATAAAATCAGTAAACAATTGAATGAATGAATGATAACGAAAGTAAAATGAATGAGAATGTAAACTAATAGAAGTACACAAGGATTATATACAGACAGATGATGGGATAAAGATCAATCAAATCACTGAAGTGCATCGGGGAATCTTTTGTGCAAAATGTTCAACCAGTGAGAGCAGTGTCTCAGATGACCTCGGCCATGGAGATAGTAAGCATTATTACCATTTTCTTTGTATCATAGTATTTTGACGATTGTAACGAAGCACCGGTCGTATTTGATGTAACTCGCTATCATAACATTATTCAGAATGTGTGTCAAGGTCTTGAGTTTTTATATTTATAGTTTTGTAGTTTTATCTGCATTGAACACGGCACAGGTTATGACGTTTCCCTTTATTGTACAGACAAAAGATATTTAAAACACTTGGATTATACACTATGGAATAATGCAATATGTAAACTTTGTTATTTCATCTCCATTACCTGGTAGAAAGCCTCTCCCTCCCTTTAACATATGTTCTGTGTAAACATGAACAGGAGGGAAGACGGGGCCACATACTGGACGCCCCTTCACTCAGATTCCCAGAGAAAGAGCAGTGACCAAATTCATGCTCTGTTTTGTTTTTAATCTTAATACAAAAATAGTATAAAGAACTACATTTGTCACTGATGAAATTCAACAGAAGCTCGACCTAGTTAAGGTAAAGTTTGTGGGAATTATTCAAGTTGTCTGATTATTTCATTTACTGGGGAACATCGTCGCTCTGGCTAGGTGACGAACACGAAACTCGACTGGCTTCTTTCTGGAGACAAACAAGAGACTTGGGAGTGTTGTCTTCTCACAGAAAAAGATTTAGCGACTGAGTGTTCTTACTGGCGACAAGTACAAGAAATTAAGCGGTCTTTCCACAGAAGTAATACAAGATTGTTTTTTCTGCTAATAGGAACACGTCTTTTGATGGCTATTCTGCTGACTAGAATAAGAAACTGTTAATGCCTTTCCGTTCGCAAGACCAAAGAAATTAAACTATTTCTCTACTGAACCATAACGAGAGAACCGCTGCTGTGTGTCGCATCCAAGTCTGGCCACCCTGTTGAAGCTCTTGCACACGATCACACTTAACGTGCTGAGTACATGCTGCCTTAATGGGAAAGTGCATAGTTAAAATGTCCACATCACCCTTTAAACGGAGCCGTGGGAACTGCCGGCGTGATGTGTGACTGCGTGCGCGAGTGTGTGTGTGTGTGTGTGTATACGTGTGGATGTGTGTGTACGTGTGGATGTGTGTGTACGTGTGGATGTGTGTGTACGTGTGGATGTGTGAGGGGGTGGAGAGGGGTGAAAGGTGGCGTGTGTGTGTGTGTGTGTAGGAGAGGAGGTATGAGTATGTATGTGTGTGTACTGTATATATACTACAGTATATATAAAGATGATGAGGAAAGAATATACAGGAGGTTATTAGTACATTCGCGTGCGTGCATGCCGGGATTAGTATGAGCTTGCGGTAGTGGTGGTGGGGTGATTTTGAGTTTCTGTTTTTATGTGAGTGGAAGGTGCAGGGTGTTGGGTTTTGTGTGAATTGAGTGTGTACATTTGGGGAGCTGTGTGTGTGTGTTTTGATAGGGAGAGACAGAGATGAGAGCAACCATTTGGAGAATTAAGCGCGTGGGATGGTGGGGGAAGTAGGGAACAGGTGTGTGTGTTTTGGGGGTGGTGGATTACTGTGCATGAGTGCGTGTGTACGTTTTCGTGTCTATATCTGTAAATATCGTTTCTACATTACTTACAAGTCGACGTAGGCCAATATCCATTTTCATTTTAGTTAAATCAATTACACCGATATTGTATTGGCTGGGGTAAATAATTTTGATGTGAAATATTCAAGGTTTGGCATTATTTTGTTCAATAAATTTATGGCAATGGTAAAAAAAAAAATATACCAGAAGCTTGAACAATTAAGCTTAGAGAAAAACACGGATATGCGTAAGAGAAGCTTAGAAAAGGAATAATCTTCACCCGTAAATCAGTAACTTGTTCACAGGACACAGGGACTTCCAACATTATTTTCAAATGTCTGGTGTGTTCGGGGATTCATTTGATTCAATACCGATTCACTAAATACAAACACTATTCAACTATTGCATACCATATTAGTTAACGAGATATACGAGTCCTGTTTCACTGCTTCGAACCGACCAGGACAATAGATTCGATAATGTTCCATGAGATACGAACCGTGTTTCTAATTTTCTAGCTGCTCAAGACATCGACCTTCAAAATGACTCAGAATCTTGGCTCGAGACACATGAGCCCTTATTTCACTACCGGGTACTCGTTCGGACTTTGAATTGGATATTGGTTCACGAAGTACGAGCCGCATTTTGCTTTTTTTTATTCCAGTCAGGACGTCATGTTTACTTTGCTTCACGATATACATTATACATGCTTTTTTTTTTTTTTTGGTTCCTGCGGGAAAACATAAGGGAGAACAATGTCAGGGAGAAGATTAGTCAATGACATGGGTGAAATCTTCGTGTTAATATGAACCTTAATACTGTGTGGGATATTGTGTAGGGGTGTGGGGGTCGATAATTGATCACGGTATTCCGAATCGTGGTTCGCTACTGTGAGAACCAGAAGCGATCGGGGAGCTGATGTAAGGAGAGAGAGAGAGAGAGGAAGACAAGGAGGTAAAGAATAAGAGAGAGGGCGGCAGACAAGGAGGTAAAGAGCGGAGAGGAAACAGGGAGAGAGAGACTTTAGAGACCCAAGGCTCATCATACGGTCCATTACTACACTATAATACGATGGAGACAAAAGATGGGGCAGTGTAACTCATCCAGTTCATTGTGGAGGAAAGCCGGGGTTATTATATAAGGCAGTCTGGAGCTGGGGAGGACCTTCGGGGGTGTAATGTGTGGGCGGGCGGGCGGGAGGGAGGGAGGGGATCTAGCTCTTGTTTTTCTATGGTTGATATATACATGTGTGAGACTGACATTAGGATAAAAGCATAATATGAGTGACAGCCACCTCACCGTATAAACCTGATACCTGCGTCGGCTGGGTGTCTTCATTTGCATGTTGCAGCGAGAATATCAACGAAGGAAGAAATACGTAACTGAATAAAAAATCAAAGTAAATGCAGTATTGTACCACGAAGAATGGATACACGAAGAATAATTGGTTAAATAATATTATTCCCGTCATAAAAAAGAAAGAGATAAATGAGGCATCGAATAAAAAGAAAGGAAGAGAGAAAATAGAATGATTGCATACTTGAAAGTGAAGAGCATCAGCGACATACAATATTCACAGAGGAAAGACGTTGGAAAATCCTGGCGAGAATCAAACGTGAACGATCCCCATCTGCATAATGTTTAGGAAAATAACAGAGAGAGAGAAGCTAAAATGACGACAAAACAAGACAATGTTCCTATTGGTATACAAGACACTTTTCCTCTTCAAAGATTTCTAGAGACAGAATATTTTCAGATCTAGTGGGGTAGAGACGTAAGAGTGTGTATTTGATTGTGGTTGGAAAGTTGTCAGTACTAGTTGCAGCTCGTGCGTGTCTGAAGTCTCATGTTAAATACAATTACTGGTAAATATCTGAACTAGGTCTAGTTCACTCTCGATAACTCACATATGCTTGTGTTTTGCGGGTTGACAGAAGAGGTTGACAGATTAGCAAGAACAGTTTCCATATGATTGATGTTGACGAGTGACGGATTGAGCTGTACAAGACTCTGAAGTAGACAGATTACGAGAAGAAAATCTACACATAAGGTTGACAGAGATGCCTCTTAAATTACTGAGACTGACAGTTAGATGAACCCAATTCTGGCATGATTGACAGACTAATAGACACAACTCCGACATGACTAAAATTAACAAATCGAAACAACTCACACATGACTCTGAGGTTGACAGGTTGACTCTCGCCCTCGCCCTCCAGGTTGACGGCGGCGCAGGTGTAGAGTCCTGCAGCTTCTCGGGTGATCTTCTGCAGGACCAGCGTCTGGTTCTGTAGGATGATGCCCCGGGTGACGCGGTGCTCCACGGGGGCGCCCTGGAGGAGAGACAAGTTATTGAAGGGCTAGGAGGGCCCTGAGGAGGCCTTCTGGTGAATGCTTTGCTCTTATGACAAGCAAGGGGCAGTAATTAAGCCTCTTCAGAGTGGAGGGTTGTTTAGGGCTCTTGGGTTAGACAAGCTAAGAGGGGAAGAACTTTGATTTAAAATAAGAATACAATAAAAAAATCGTGGAAAAGGCTTAAGATTGGAAGTGCATTATAACAAGACATAAAAGAACTCGGTGAATATAACGACGAAAGTTATCCCACAGCCGAATTTTTATAACGAATTGAAAATAAAAACAAATTCTACAAAAGAGACGTTACAAGAATAATCTTCTATAGTATAAGACAACATTTTTCCTTTCAATGGTTCTAGATGATGTACAAATTATTTTTTGGGGCATAATAAAGTGTATGAAACTTGAACCAAAGTTGTCGACTTGTGGACGAAAACTGATCACGAGTACCTAAAATTAACCATCTACTTGGTCTCATTTTTTTTTTTATATATTTACGGCCCCTTATGTCTCTTGAGTCCGTACGACCAACCTGCCAGATTTATTCGTCAATGTAAACTCGACATACTTGATACCCTGTTTATTTTACACGTTTAAATCTTGTTCTCTTTCGTCACTTGTTCTGGTAATTCAAAAGACTTATTTCCTCGGTAAGTGTCACTTAGTATTTAAAACAGGTAAGCATAGTTTATTGATGTAATGAAACAGCCAGAGGTGTGATCAGTGAGTAGAGGGGGATGGTAGGAAGGAAAGACAATGGTGTGGTGGCAGGAGTGCAGGTGTGGTGGCAGGAGTGCAGGTGTGGTGGCAGGAGTGCAGGAGTGGTGGCAGGTGGCAGGGCGGTGGTGGAGAGGTGGGGAGGCAGGTGTGGTGGCAGGGTGTGCAGGGGGTGGCAGGAGTGTGGCAGGAGTGCAGGAGGTGGCAGGAGTGCAGGTGGGGGCAGGGAGTGCAGGGTGGTGGCTGGGTGTGGGTGGTGGCAGGGAGTGCAGGTGTGGTGGCAGAGGTGGTGGCGGGGTGCAGGTGTGGTGGCAGGAGGGGCAGGTGTGGTGGCGGGAGGGCAGTGTGGTGGCGGGAGGGCAGGAGTGGTGGCGGGCAGGAGTGGTGGCAGGGAGTGCAGGTGGCAGGGGTGCAGGTGTGGTGGCAGGAGGCAGGTGTGGTGGCAGGAGTGCAGGTGTGTGGCAGGAGTGCAGGTGGTGGCAGGAGTGGGAGGTGGCTGGGTGCAGGTGTGGTGGCAGGAGGGCAGGGTGGTGGCAGGAGTGCAGGAGGTGGTGGCAGGAGTGCAGGTGTGTGGTGGCAGGAGTGCAGGTGTGGGGGCAGGAGTGCAGGTGTGGTGGCAGGAGTGCAGGAGTGGTGGCAGGAGCGCAGGTGGAAACGAATAACGAGGACAGACAATGGGTGAAACGAGAGAGAAGGATTATATGAAGGAGGGAATGGGGAAGTGAATTAGGAGATAAGGTGTAGATGATTAAAGAAAGAGGGAAGGATGTAGGATAGGACAATGCACTGGGGAAGTGTAGAACGGATGGGAGAGAGAGGCACGGGGAGGCTTGCAATGCCGACACGAAATAAGAGAGAGAGAAAGAACTTGAGGTGATTAGGCCTGTATTCGTCACACACGTCCTCTTGTTAGGCCTACTCGACCACGCCTGTTGGTTGGGTATTGGTATAATTTTCTGTGAATCGGGAGAAAAAAAATTGTCTAATATTCCTCTCACAAATAATGTGTATAATCTACTTTAGTCATGTAGGCAAGTTGGGTTTTAACGTAAGTCTATTGAACCTTTAATGTTAAACGGATAAAATTTATAGTGAAAATCAACGTTCATCACATGGCTTACTAGTAGTAGCCAGATAGTGTCGGGTATTAAGGGAGTTTGGTTGCGCTGTATATATGTATAAAAGTGGTGTGACGGGATAATAATTTCAGTAAAAGCTGAATGAGTTCTTTGTTTAGCTAACTGCCTTGAGGGGATTTGGGCTACATAAGGGTGATGACCTGATCGGACGAGGTCATGTCATAAGATTGAAGTCGACATACTGTACAGTGCCTGTTAGTGTTGTCGACCTTTCTCGTCAGTCAACTCAAGTTATTAATAGGAGGCTTGGTGAATTAGTCAACTTGTCAACTTTAAATGTACAGAATTAAAAAAGGGATTTCGGTCACCCTACTGCATCTATCGGGAAACTGTAGCTGGTGTAAACATTTCCTTTCTATCGCCAAAGATAACAGGAAATAAAACTATGTAATGGATTTAGAATATTAAGAAATAGGGAAGGATATATAGCAAGAGAATATTAAATGACGGAAAATTCCGATTATGAACTCGCCTCTACAAACAGAAAACTTTAATAATCAACGTAAACCAGAGGGTAAATGCTGGCGAAAACGTGGAGGCTGAGGATGGCAGAGTAGCTCCTCCTCAGCTTAGTAGATGGAAACTAAAAACAAAGTTAAATACAAAAAAACCCCTCTGGCCTCCCTGGCATGTCTGGACCCTTACCCTCAGTTTTACGGGCTGGAATCATTACGTGACGCAGATACGGTGGTCTCGTTAGGTAGTAAACCTGTCCTCCAGCCGGGGAGATACACCATTGCTATCATAGCTGGGGAAGTAGCTGGGGGCGTGGCAGGTGGACTGAGGCATGGCTGAGGGCGCAGCTCGGGGGCATGGCTGTGTGGCAGGGGTAGGGATGTGGCTGATGGGCTTCAGGTATGGCAAGAGCCTAGGGTCGTAGCTTTAAGGTTGGGAATGTGGACACGAGGCTGGCGGTGTGGTCATGAATATGGAGAATTTGGCTATGATGGGAAGATGGTGGTCAAGTCCCAGACTTGGACCCTAAATAAACCAAAGATATTTTTACTATCTCTTAACACTTTTCATACAGAGCTCTTATGCAATAATAATAATGATAATGATGATGATGATGATAATAATAATAATAATAATCCAATAATAATAATAATAATAATAATAATAATAATAATCCAATAATAATAATAATAATAATAATCCAATAATAATATTCTAATAATAATAATAATCTAACAAAGTGTGGGGTCTCAATGAAAATTCGGATAAGATTCAGGGTTCGTGTCTAGGGATTTGTGCGGCCGAATGAACGATTCAACCCAAGTGCGTGAGACAGAGGCAGGACTCACGTTGTGGTACCAGAGGACTCGCTGGACATCGGGGTTGGCGTTGATGTGACACTCGAAGTACACGTCGTCCGATTCTTTGATGGTCTCGGGGTCCAGGTTGCTGCCCATCTGTAGCGTCACCACCGGCTTGTCTGATAAAAGGAAAGACTGAGATTAGTATCGTTGTGTGTCTCTCTCTCTCACCACTGCTGCCACTTAATCCCCTCAAACTTTAACCCAGTTCGTGTACACAGAGTTATTCAAGGAGGCATAATGGCATTTCAAACAGCTTTTATGAGCGTAATAAAGGCTTTGTTGACATATCTCTTGTCCAACACTAATGGAACATCCTTACTTGCTCAGCCTTAACACGTGTTTCTGCTTCCTCACTACAAACTTTATTTTTCAAGGATTTTAAATGCCAAATTGAGTAGGACTATTGATTTTAATAGGAACTCAAACCTGATAGAAATGTTTTAAGTTTGGGCAGTATAATATTTTTCTTTTATAGCTAAATAGTTGTCACGAGTTAATAAGGTAAATTTTCTTTTATAATACAGTATTTTCTATTATCCAATCCTGTATCCGTGAAGTAGATGCTATGAAACAAACAAAGAGGAATAAAGGCAATAATAAGGGAGTCTGCAAGAAAGGTGTAGAAGGTAACAAGACGAGAAAGCTCTACACACGCTCCCTCACATGCCAGAACTTGTAAGCAATATATACCAGGTAAATAACTAATTACTAAGACATAAGTTTATAAAATCCAATCTTTTATGTATTAAGTTTATGATAATATACATCTAGGGACATAAAATGCGTAGGAAAGAAAAAATCATGACAGTAAATCTGAAAGGAGTTAATTAAAGGAAGTCAATAATCCAGGTTAAAAGAATTTATAATTTCGGATATGCAATTTTCCGTCATGCACAAGACATCACGTGGATTTTTTATTAACATTCCTTCTTCTCGGTAATATACAGTATATATAAATAGCATATTTTCATTCTTCTTTGGCGTCAGCTGAAATTTCATCACTATTATTGCATTCAATGGTCAGCACTAACAACATATATTAGTCAATAGTGAGAAAAAATAAATATTGACCCAGGATTTATTACTGCACGAGCCAATGACTCGTGTAAACCATTGTGTTTTATTTTTATCTCTTATTGATTTTCCTTCTGTAGACGTATCTCGCCTTAACTATTTATATCCATGACTTGTAGGGAAGGAATTTATGGACTTAGTTTTGGGTCACGGACACACTCCGTCTGACCTAATGGCTCACACTTAACCCCTCTTGTATTTGCGCTCGTAATTTAGTTGTGTTTAAGTGGAAATATGATGATGTCGGCAAAACTAAAGCGGTTTAAGTAAATTCTGTTGATATTTAAACCCGTGGCTTACTAATTAAGTATTTTGAAATCTTTTTTCCACTGCCGCTACACGCAGCTTTGATCTGTCCCTCTTTGAGTTACACTTTTTTCGCTCTGTGTAACTTAATTTAGGTGTAGCACTCCAGTGTATGTGTTACTACTATTAATGGTAATGCCGATCTGTTCAGTTCCATGGTTCGTCAAGGCGCCTGTAACAGATAATATATGCATTGAATCAGGGACTTGTTCATGATAAATGTGTCCTCAAGGGTTATGGCAAGTTATCCAGGCACTCATGATTTCACTCTACTGAAACTATCACCTAAACCTTTCTGCTCTTTTGGCTTATTAAGGATAATTTTTTCTTACCCACTACAAGAAAACAACAAATCACCTGTTGGTTTCTTCTGTGTTTTTGTGTATTTCCTCTACTTTAAAAGAACTAGGAACGCTACGGAGTTTATTTGTTATTTCTACCTTTGCAGTTGCGAAGATTTAAGAATGTCTAGTTAGGTGTAAAAGGACCACATCTCTGGCTTTCTTTCCACGACTATATAATAATTCTTCTATGTGATGGTTAAGTTCTATGAGGTGACATTATGGTTTCGGCAATGTAATAATTTTTTTTAGTGTAAATATTTTTCTGATGTAGTATTTATTCTTCTTCTTTTCGTTCTTCTTTAACACAAGGGACGAGATTGTACGAGTTACCGCTTGTAGTCAAAATATCTGGCTGCTTCTCCTCTTCCTCCCTCTTTTTCTTCCTCTTCCTCCTCCAGAGTTGTCCCCAATTCTTCTTTCTTCCTCAACATTGCTCAACAGTTTCCCGGGTCTTTTTTCGTCAAGATTCCTTACCATATTTTTTGTGCGTTCCTGGTGTGTGTGTGGGGGGATATGTGTGTAGGGGTGTGTTTGGATGCGTGTTTGTTGTTTGTTTGTTTTATCTTTCAATTAAATCCAATAAATCGTTAACTACCGATTTTCATTAGTTACCAGAGGATTTATATTCTCCACCACAAATTACAACATCCAATCGTTATCATTTTTATCATTTTCTTAAGTTAGGAAACGTATTAGTCTTTACTGTATACAAGACCACGTAGGCATCGTATTTGTCCAAAAGTTCAGAAAAATCAATGCTGGGATACAGTTCGTGGTTATGATCACTATTGAGTGTTAAGCCGAAAGGAGTTAACTTGCCTATGCATAAAATCTTAAGGAAGTCGCGATCTGTGGTTATAAGGTGAGGGAAATTAAACACCGTATTGGTATGTTTAACTCGATAAAAAAAATGGGAGCTGACCCACTACAAGCAGAGCGTGAGGGAGGAACTCTCGACATTGTCAACGGAGCGTCTTGGGAAATCAGGGAGAAAGACCTGAGGGCGCGGCACGTTGGCCTCACGCCGTAAAGATGAGTTATTCAGGAAAAGTTTTACGGAAAATATCATCATTTGAAAGAGCGCAGCGTAGAGAGAACTCCTCCCCCATCAGGAAGACGGATGAGAGGTGATGGGAAGGAGGAGGTTGTTCTTTTCCTCCCATCTCTCTTTCTCTCTCTCTCAACCTCTTTCACAGATTGTCTGGGGGGTGGATGGTTGGATTAGGAAGGTAGTGGTACGACAACATGCTGCAAAAATAGAATTATTGGACAGGATGGGAAGGAAGGTTGGATGAATGGATAAAGACAGGTTGGTCGGATCAGGATGGAAGGGAGTGGGAGAGAGCGAGGTAAGAAATTAATTTATTGGATAGGGTGGAAGGATTGGAAGAACAGGTAAAGAAAGATGGTAGGAAGAGAAGAGGCTCAGAAGGTTATATTAAGGGGTAGAAGGGGAGGTGTCAAGGGCAGAGTGGGAGTAAGAAAACTGTAAACACCTTTTTCTTAGTTTGATAAGGAAAATAGGGTAACTCCTAATCTCTCTCTAATACCGCACACAATATCCTTTAGAAGGTCGTAGTCTGGACTCCCTCCTCCTTCCCACCGTACAACTACAGCATCCAACACAGTCCGAAATTCAGAGCTGCAGCAAAGCGACTTCCAAGCGGCAGATCCAGCGGCCGCCAGCGGTACTCGGCGGTGCCTAGGGACCAACAGGCTGGAAACTGAGGATTGAACAGCTTTGAGACTGAATGCAGCAATATTACCAACTTCGGGGATACTGAACCCTCGACTTGGAAACAGCATCGACCTAGAATTGGACCTGGCGTTACCTGCCGTGTTGGTAACAGTCTTTAATTCCCTAAATGGAAGGCGTTTTCCATCCGAGGGACTACAACCTCCTCCTTCACACAATAACAACAGGGCAGAAAAGAATATTCCATAACCCTAAAACACAATCACTGACGGGAAATATTCAGTTTGTTTTCAGAAAATCTGTGAAAACTCACTTTACAACGCGATACATAGTTGCGAACTAACTTTATTATATGCTCTAACAAACGCCTGTTCCAACTCCAATTAAGTCTTTGAAACAAAACTCGGGACAAGCATAAAACCCCCACTGTCAAACTTTAGATTGGAAGTCAGAATGCTAGTGACATTTTCTTTACTTATGATTAAAGAATATAAATAAAATTCACACACGAATGGAATTTTGTGCGAGTGTTAGTGAATTTAAGAAAAAATAGCTTGATTGTCGTGTAAACTGGAGATATTTTGAGTGATATGAGTATAGATATTCAGGCTATCAAAGTAGATTAGTTAATTTATTTATAATACGTTCAGCAACATTTGGCGTCATTCATTTACGTTCTGTATTTGTTTTTTGTTTTAAAGAGACAAACATCGACCATGTGGAGGATCGTCCTATCAATTAAAACTATTTCACGTAAACATTGACGTTGGCTAACTGGCAATTAGTTTATTTTTTTCACTAATGTTTTATTGTTTCATGAGTGTAAAAGTGTACTGGGAGAGAAACGTCTTGAGAGATGTAAAACTCGTCAGATCAAGACGTAATAATTCATTTAGTTTTATAATATTTCAATAGAATGCTTTATCATTATTTTTACATTTATCCCCTTTTTTGTACATTTATGTTTTCTAGATATGAATTTACCTTAATCCTTACTAGTATTTTGTATTTTTTTTGTAGTTGAACTTGTTACTACACTTAAGTATCTTGTGATTACACTTTTTACTTACAATACTTGTATATGAATCTACCTTATGAAGATTTATTCTGTTTCATACGTAATGACTTTAGAGAGTAGGTTGTTATGTTTTCTATATGTATAAGGTCTATTTTACTGTTTTGTGGAAGAAAAAAAAGAAGGAAAAGTATATAATATTTTATTTTATTCAACGCTGACGATATTAACTAAAGTGGAAAGAAATTAGTTTTTATTGATATATTTAATGGTTTCAATTCTATCAAATTATTTTTTCCTTTTGTAGCACGGTATTAAAAAGGACCTTGCGACACACACACACACACACACACACACAGACGCGCGCATACACAGACGCGCGCATACACACACACACACACACACACACACACACACAACTACGTACGTTTAAGTAATAATTTTTCACAACATTATTTCTTGGCGTTGCTGTGTAATCTTCAGCTGCTGTCGTTACCTAATGGTCTAAGACTGCCTGAGTGTAATGGTTTATGAATGTGAGTCCCATAATTAAGGGTGTTAAGCCAGCAGTCGGGATTCATTAACATTCATACGGTTGAGTGTATCCTCTTAACTAGTGCTAAGGGAAACTGTTTAGTAAATATGATGTCAAGTCTGTTCATGCAACTAACTGTACACACTTATCTTAACCTATCTATACACTGCTTTCGTGCGTTCGTACAAACTTGAACAATCGATACAACTCCGAAAGTCCTCAGTCATCTAGTTAAAATAGTTTTGCTTATCGATTTCGCTTGAGCTCTTGGTAGCAAACGATGTGTGTCTTTAGTTTCAAGAATTCCCATCAACCACTTCAAACCTGTCACACATGGGCGCGGGGGACACAGGTTGCCCTAATATCACGTAAAAGAATTTGGCCTTTATAAAGATCAATGGAATTTTTCAAAAGCGGGAGCAACGTGTCCCGTCCATTATCCTCATTAAACTACATTGGAGTTTTATCGAATTCTCGTTTTTCTTTATATTCTAAATTGAAAAAAAATTATTCAACATTTTAATCGGTGTAAAACTCACTTTGTCCATTGCGTGTTTGGCCATATTGGAAAATGTATTAATATAATATCCTACTTCTTGTAATATGAAGGAGGTACTTGACTATCCGAGAGCACGACTTCGGTTTCATATTATTTTAGATGGATCAGGTAAAAGTAAAAATTCTAATATCCTTTAATTAACGGTATTTATCATCATTACATTCCTTGGAATTTGGTTTAATGGAAAGTAATTCATGTCTACAAATACTAGCGATGCCTTTTGAGTTTCCACGGCATTAGAGAAGAAAAGCACATTACTCCTAAACGAGGGAGTCAGTGGGGATGAAAGACTCTCTAGGAACCTCCATTCAGGTTCAGTCATTAGTGCGGCCCATACGGTTCTCTGTCCGACTCACCCCCTCACAGGTGCTTATGTGTACGTTCTTGTGTGTGTGTGTGGGGGGGGGGGGCTGCTGTGACACCCTGGTAGCTTGTAGAGGGTAAGGGGTTTAGGGCTAAGTCCCCATTTGGCTTGCTGTAGGTAGGGTTCTGAATGATAGGTATTGTAGTGTCGGCGTCTCCCTGTCGTCCTTAGGTCTGTAAGCTAATGGTCTCATAGGCATCTCAGGTTTTGTAATATAAGCGTCTTTATATAATTTCAAATGATATACAGCAAATATATTAAATGTGTATCCAAGTAGAGAAGTACTCCCATTTATGTCACAGGAAGACCACCAAGAAAATTAAATCATATGAAAGATGTTCAGAATTGTCCAAGACAGACAGAAAACATAAGCAGTAATAAACAACAAATATTTAAAAACTAAACTCGACAAACAATTCAATGTTGATCAAGAAAGTTTCAGTTGTCTTACTGTGTGTTGAGTTAATTCGAAAGGAAATAATGTATCTCATACGTGTAAGGGTGGAGGCCATAGTTAAACAATCGTTGGAGCGCCGCTAAATTCGGCCAAAAACTTGAACTATGGTATGTTTCTTAGTATAGGTACTCGTGGGCACGCTGATCCAGAATCTGTTCCACGATTCGATTGCGAGGTAATTAGTGGTCGTAATAACGCTTGGAATATTTTAATGACTTTTTTCAATGCTAATTACTAGCCAACGATGGGTTTCCGAGGTGCGATTTTGATGTTTTTGTGTTATTATTTTAAGTATTTAAGGTGTTCCGTAGCCTCTGATCCCCTGGTGCATGAGAGCTAACCAATCTGACTCAAGGCTTATGGCTTAACCCCCGAAGGAGTCGTGTGGTACCGTCCCTCGCATATAAAAACACCACTCAACCTAGCTGGACCACCATCCCAGGGGCATGAAATCCAAGGCCGGTATTCTAAAGCCATTCAGCCACTGCCGACGCGAGACATGAACGGTAATATGTGGTGGTTGAGAGAGACGCATCAGCACTAACAACAACATATGGAGTAGGACACACCGAATGATAAAAGGGTAAATGGAACTTGAGAGCAGTCATCCGTGGGTATTCGTAGACCAAGCTGGCATAGAAATAACTCATAGAATAATGGACAGAAGATGCCAAGAAAAAAAGGAGAGTTAGGTAGACAATAACACTGAAAGGGGACAAAGTAAACAATAAGAGAGACAGAAGTAACTCACAGAAGATGTTGAGTTTGAGGCCGTCTTCCTTGGCTGACTGCGGTATAAGCTGGTTCTCTGCTCGGCACGTCAGGTACTTGCCGCTGTCAGTCATATCCGCGCTGTACTTGAGGATAGATGTGGTCACGTTGCTGTCTGGTGACGTCTGGCGAGTGAGAGGGGAGCACAGGTCAAAGGTCAACAAAGGTCAACACGTGGCTAAAGGGCATATAATTACAAGTCCTAAATCATAATAAGACCAGACCAATGTGTACTATCCTTCGTAAAGACATTATCCATAAGATTACGACAGCTCATCACTACAGCCTAACCTAACCTAACCTATTGAGAGAATGTTATGGTTTTCGTGGACTCACCGTCATGGCAGCATCCTTGAGTGCCGTGGTGCCACCTTTCCACCAGCTTATGATGGCAGCTGGCCGTGATCCCCAGGCCTGGCACACCAACTCGTAATCGGTCCCGGCACTCAGACTGCCAGTGCCACTGAGGATGGTGACGTTCTGCGGTTGAACTGTAGGGGGAGGAAGGGAAAGAGTTTTGAGGAAGGATTCATAGATATGTAGTCGTTTAGGATATACAGAGTATTAGTAAGAAGATTGTACAGTAGAGGTTCACAGTTATCTGTTAAAACGAACAAAATAACTACACCCACCCACTCACTCACTCACTCACCCACTCACCCACTCACTCTATACTCCACATTCCACTCTTCTCCTCCCTTCTCTCGTGCACCCAAACATGCACTTACAAAACACAAGAAAGCACACAAACCTGTCAATCATTGTCGTATCTCATCTTGCACCTGGACCTACTCTTTCTCTCTCCTCGTTTTGTGTCCTCCTCCTCCTCCTCCTCTGTGCGTGTTATTCTCACCTTCTCTAAGGAAAACTCAATACCAAAAGACCTTCCACGAAATATAAACCCTAGTCCTTCATATTTTTTTTTTCATTGACATCAAAATTTTTATGAAAGTTTTACGAACATTTTGATTTATTGAGAAACTTAACTGAACAAATAAAAAGAATTATCCGGAAACCGAACCGAAAATCCCATTAAATTTGACATACAATCGAAATCATTTGGACACTTGACAGGAAATCATAAATTCCCGGATATTCGAAAAGAAAAACCGATTTATCCAGAACATCGATATCTGAGAATTATAAAGAAAGCTTCCAATTAAGTGCTGATTACCTTCCCCCCCCCCCCCCCCACCTACTACTTCCCACCTAACTAATTTATTCCTAACTAACCACCACCTGATTTATCCTCCCCACTCATGACCAACTAATTTCTACCCACTTACCACCTACTAATTTCTTAACCCACTCAAGACCCCCCACTCACCACTACTAATTTACCCCCCTCTCTTAATTTACCACCTAATAGTTTCTTCCCTCTAATTTACTTAACCAAATTATCCCACACTCCACTTACCACCTACTAATTTCTGTAATAAATTAGTTAAGAAAATTACTGAACACAGTTTTCCCTCCTCGTTTAGTGTAAGTTATAGAGGTTAATGAGTAATTAAGTTAGGCGAAATTTAAAAGTTAATTTAGGGGTAAATTTTTAGAATTTTCTTATAGTGGATTTTAAGAGTGGGATTTTGATAGACTCCCTGAATTGGGATTTTATAAAGAAAACGAGAGTATTACTTAGATGGGATGTTTTATTAGTGAACCATATTATATCATGTAGTATAGGTATTTTTAAGGTGATAATGAAGCAATTAGGCCAGATTGGAGCCTCTCTCTCTCTCTCTCTCTCACCTTTCAGAGTAAAACCAAGTATTTATTTCACTTTTATCTCGAATAAACTCGTTTGTTTTAATTTACATGTGATTTTATTCTTGTTAATTAATGCTACATATACAGTATACCAGATTCATTTCTTTGTTATTGTTAGTTTCATCCAATAACGCCGTAGTTTTATTCGTAAATTTATAAACAATAATGAAAACCATATATTGTGATTCGTTGGGGAGCATGGGGCTATTCTTTCAGCTATAGTACATAAAACTGTTAACCTTTTTGTTCAACCTTTCCCAAGAGTAAATATGGTGATGTAATCCAGAAATGTGTTTATATAGTAATTTTACAGTGGAGAGTAAAACAAGAGGCTTCTGTTGTAAGAATAAACAGAACAGTGATGTTTACCGTGTGGAGTAGTTTTTTTTTAAGGCGTGTTTATAAAAGTGTTTCACCACAGTCTCCTGATTTGTGGTTGATATACGTCAATGCAGAAGCCTTTGAGTGTATTCCAGAGAGTAAACAGCTACTTGGTGGCGGCTCATCAAACACAACCTGGTTATCATTCTTCTTCTTCTTCTTCTTAAAGATTTTTGATTAATTTTAAAGTGCATCATTGTGTTATCTCTTGGGATAAATGTAGGATAACAATGGAGAAAGTGTGTTGGTAAGATCGGTGAATTCTCAAGCCATTGTTGTCATAGTAGAAGTCTCAAAATGCCCGATTACAAAAATAATAAACTTTAAATTACGTGAAAAACATTACAAAATTTTCATATTATTCTGCAGAAGTTGGTTACTCCGTCCTCTGTATCTTAACGTATCTTATTCATCTTTATTATCCCTTGTTTCCTTCGCTTCATCTCTTGACACTCTACCCGTGTTTCATTTTCACCCTCCCTGTTCACTCAGCTGCCTGTCTCGTGCCCACTGCATGCACACATTTCATCCAAGTTCTCTTCATTTGTTTATCGAATAAAAAAAACCTTATGCAATTACACTTTCTTTGTTTACTATATTAAAACATCTTGAGGGGTCATTAAGGACAAAATTGGCTTCTAATATCACATACCTCAAGACGTCGCTGTAGACTGGCTCATACAGTACGTAATGAAAACAAAAATTAAGCCGTATTGGAAATTGCTTTCAGGTGCGCCAAGATTTTCATTTTCGTCACATTATGTGGCAGGTGAATGAAAAGATTACGTTAATTCATAAAATCAGTAAGTTACTATGTCGTTAAGGAATATATGACTGGATAAATCTGGATACAATCATTCTTTTCTTTTAATTCTGGTTGCTTCAGTCTGATCAAAATTCAATGACTGTTTTGCTATTTTGTTGTCCAATACGGCTTAGGATCTTTTTTTTTTATCAATTACTGTACGAAGACCATCCAGATAAAATCTTGTCCCATGAGGCCATAGATCTGGGTTTTTTTTTCTGAGGCAAACCCCTCTATCTATGCCGAGCCATCCTCTGTGTAAAGTTCTTTTGCCTGTTGCTCTCTCTCTCTCTCTCTCTCTCAACCAACGTCTCCAATCTCGTTCAACCAACACCTGCAGTCTCGTTCAATCAACACCTTCAATCTCGTTCATACACCGTCTCCAATCTGCTTGGGTCACATATCTCGGCACCAAAGCCTCATTCATTCATTCACAACTACCACTTCTTCTTCCATATTTTTCCCCTCATGATATAACATGGGCGCTGGGGCCCTTACGGTGTGCTTCTTGGGGCCTTCCTGTGTTATTTATATTGTGAGGCAACACCCAGGACGAGGAGGACAAGTAGGAGGCACGCGGTGGTGATGGACAGGGAGCCACGCCATGCTCTCTGATGGAACCTGCCTGGGATCATGGTGATAAGTCACGCTGACACACACACACACACACACACACCTCACAGGAGCAACTCACGGGTTTCCTTCTCTCATATTTGTTCAGACAAGAATACAATTTTGATATGATTAATGTAGATACGTCCTCTACTCTTTACGTACAAGATGTGATAATGTGTATTGATCGTAAATTGTAAATACCGTATGTACCGTTGTTGTGGTAACCTGTACTCGTGTTGGTATCTGCAACTGTACGTTTCTTTCTGAATAAATGATATGAATTATTTGACTTTTTGCTCCTTGCAAGAAAACTCAGGTTAATCCTGTTCTGGCTCGACGGGGGAGAAAATGTTGGTGGTTTTATTGACACAGTTAGATAATCAAGCTCAGTCCAGGTAAAAGTGCTTCCATAAATAATTTAGTTCTGGGAAAATGTTGATTTATCTCTATATAAAAAAAAATATTAAGGATTAACTCAACGCAGTCAGTCCAGGAATAAGTGAGGATCTGGATTTAGAGAACTTTTGGAATCTGGGTTTAACTTCATTCCCTTGACTCCAGATCATGTCAAGGTTTATCTTCGCTGAGTAGTATTCCTAATTTAACTTGTAATAGCCAGGCATCCCTCGGAGAAGTTATTTGTTTACTGTCGTCTGGTAGGTTTAACTTCACCCTGACAGCTCTTGGTGAAGATCTACAGCTGTCAGTACCTCCCTGGATCTCCGGTACAACATATAGTACAGTACATTGAGGACCTGGTTAGTCTTGGGTTTACGATCATCTAGCAGGAGACATTTAGCTTCAATTAGGCAGTCTTACTCATTTCTCATATGTTCGTATATATATGAACACACTCAGCATGAAATATATATGAGTTTGTAGAGGTAGTTGGTCTCAGGGGAATCAGTTGTAAGGAGTGTATCGTGAAGGTAACAAGTGTAAGAAGCTGTTCACACATAATGGAGCGTCAAGGATGATTAAGACAATGCAAATGATAAAAAACACCTATTATAATACTGATAATATAACAAGAAAACCACGCTGTAGAAATTAACACAGGCGGAATTACAGCACAGCGTGAAGAGAAATAACATTGTTCGAGTTTGCTGGTAGAATTTGGGTCGGTGGAGTGAAGTTACGGGGAGATAAAGAGATTATGAAAGCAGCTTATGTAAAAACACGAGAAAGTTTGGGGGCAGTAACAGGGGATGCAGGAAGCAAAAGGAGGAATTTGCAATAAGATCAACACAGTCTGGAGGAAGTGACAATGAGATAAAGGAAACGCAACAAAGGAAGTGAAGGAGGGAACAAGTAATACTGAGAGCTGGGGTGGGCGGTCGTCTTGAAGAACAGAAAACGGGAATCTTACTTTTTGATGCGTAAAAAATAATAATCCATAAAACTCTTGAATTTCAATAAGAAAAAATGAAACATTGGTTTTTTTTTTAATGATGACTAGATGGAGGTGATGTATGACAATTTTTTTTAGGAGTAAATACAAATAAATTGATATGATTCATTGTTTATATAATATGACAAAAACTGGGAAGAATGAGGGACTAAAAATATATGAAGAAATTTCGATTAAAATAACAAGTTTCGAAATATGTAGGGAGAGTGTATTACAGAATAGAGAATAAAACCTTATCAAATGTCACAGAGGCAAATGGAGAGGAGCGCTTTCATAGTCGACTTTGAGGCAAAGGGTAGAGGTCAATGCTGAGAACGACAATAACGTTGAACCGTGTACAGTAGGTCAGTTATATATATAATGGATTAGTTTCCCCTTTGTAACATTTTCATTATACAAACCGTGTACAGTAGGTTAGTTATGCATATAATGGATTAGTTTCCCCCTCTGTAACATTTTCATTATACAAACATTCGTCGTTTCATTTTATTATCCAAACCTAATTATCC